AGGTTCCAACCCATCAATCTGTCTAACATATTATCAAATCTATGCAGCCTTCATTTGTTCACTAAACAGTCTGAAGGTTTGATATTTGCATATCATATTCCAATAGCAAAATTATTACTCACGACGTTAATGACTATGACCCATTCAGAAAACAATGCATTTCCTCTGCCAAGTTTGGCACTGTCTACAACGAAACAAAGATTGAATTTTTCTTGAACGTATTCATTGTTATAGTAACAAAAGGAATTAATTAGCCTTTTACCTATCATGGTTATGTAAAATCATGCTTCCTTCGTTGTTTTTCTGTTTGAGGTAATTGATTTATCGACTGAAACATGAATATATCGATTATTTATTCGATTTGAAAAATTATCTTTGTCTTTCAATTTTGTCTACATGCCTCAAATTCAATATTTCATAATAATGAAAAATTTCGATGTATTTGAATACTTGTAGTATTATTGAAAGTAGTTGTTTCGAAGATGCTTTTTCTTCCAATTTGTATCTGAAAAAATCTGTGCAAGATTGACACATTTTTGCGAAGTGTTTATTCTAGTTCTATCTTTTTTTGGGGTTTCCCACATTTTTTATTTGAAGCTGAAAGCCAAAACGTTTTTCCAAAAACTAATCTCTCTAAAAATGTTTGATTTCTTCAAAATTTAAACAAAATTCTTATTGAGCTTGAATCAAAGTATCTATCAATCCATAAGTTTCCCCGTATTTTAGTCATTCATTTTAAAAGATTCTCTCTAACAGAAAGATTAAGAGGCAAGTTAAATGTTATCATCGAATTTCCTCTAGATGCATTAGATATGATCAATTATGCAGCAGACAATGTGACTCGTTGTCGTTATAATCTATATGCACTTTCGAATCACAGTGGTTCTACTGACATTATTCAGAATTCTGCAGACATCTTTATACTGGCTCGTGAAACGAATGAAATGATTCACACGTGTCTCCAATTTCACTAAAAGTGGAGATGCATACATCCTCTTTTATAAAAAGGAGGAAACGAGTTCGCACTATATTCCGCTTTCTGCTTCGATAAGTTTGTTGGGGGTCAAGTTGGACACCAATATTCCTGGAACACTGTTCCGAACCAGAAAACTGTACACACCTCAGCAACTTTTGATGCTTCATAAAGCTCAGATCAGACCTTCTTTGGAGTATTGTTCTCATGTATGGAGCTCTGCCGTCAAACATACCCTAAAGTTGCTGGATTCCATCCAGAAAAGAACCATCCGCTTAGAGACGCGAACATCACGTGCAACCTTGATAGCCTGGAACATTGAAAAAAGGTTGGAGATTTGTCTCTCTTCTATAGATACATCCACGGGAGCTGTTCAAGGAACCTCAAGTACACCTGGAACTTCACTGTTCAAGAACTCTTTCATCTGGAAATCTGCGTTTATGTGGAATAAACTCCCTGAGAACGTTTTTCCAAATGGATTTAATCTCCAGCGATTCAAATCCAATTTGAATCGCTACTTTGGCACAGGACCGCTCTTAGAGCGCCTCAAGGATGTTCCTGTAGTGCTTGTGTTTAGTCCTTGAAAAAACCTATACTTCTTTTCCTGTTTCTATTGTAGACCGACTCGGCTCTACAAGGAAACTGTAGTTATCTCTAGACATTGTCTGAAAATTCAGCTATGGTCAGATTCTGTTTGATACCGCAGTAGTAGACGAAATGTTGAGCATAAAAATCTGCAGACCACAGCCAAAAACTGGGAAAATAGCTTTTACACAGTTATCTCCGGTCGTGGAAGTTTGGTAAGTGGAATATTTGAAAATCCAACCAATTTGTTCGAAAATTCTATCCAGCACGTTTGTGGTAAACATCCTGTAAATATGTACTAATTAGTTGTACAGATTAATCCGATAGTTACGTATTTATATCGTGAAGTAGTGGAAATAATTACGGATCCGAGTGTTTTCCATTCCAGTTCACTTCAACTTACTCGAATAATATTGTTGAATCATAAAAAATTATTCCAAATGAGTGTAACGACCTAAAACATTTAATCATGTAATGAGTCACCGCCTTAAGCCATTAATTTCCTGTCTTTAATTCGACGGTTTTCGTGAACGACATACTCTGCATTTTAAACCTTTTTATCGGGATTAACAGCGAGACGACTCAGCGGTTTGATGTATTTTAAAGAATCCTTGATAAAGCTGTCCTACTAATAGAGATATCAGATCCAATTTGGAACCAATTTAATCGCATCAACTTTAGACTACTCGAATTAGAGTTTAACTACATGAATTATTGAAAAATTAGGTGGTTTATTGTTGGCCATTGCTTAATTGGTTGTCACAAAACAATAATCGTTCATTACTTCTACATAGGTTGTTGAAAAGTTTCCGTCAATCGGAAACTTGAGAACTTATAAATTTGCCCATTCTATGAATCGGTGAAAATCTTACCTTACGTCTCACAAATCCTCTAGTTCATTTCAGTCATAAGATATCTATTATGTAACCCTGCGTAAATAAGCCACTAATGATTTGAAACGGGAAAAATATATCAATCAATACATTCAATAAACGTGTTATTGATCGTGAATACAAGTAATAAAAGTGGCCACGTTTACATGGCATCGTTAGGAGGAATTCTAACAACCGATGTTACTGTTAACGAACATCAACGTTATCGAACATCATTAAACCCCTTATAAAAAGGGTTTTCTTTACAAAACCAAATTTAGTATTTCATTACTTCGGACTTCCATTGTCTAATATTATATAAAATGATTTGAAATTCCTAAAAGAACAAATACAAATTGAAAATTGAAAAGAATAGCTGAAAATTACAATTATATTAAGCAAAAACAACCCTGAAATGAAATTACAGTGAAATAAAATACAAGTAAAAAAATTGAACAATCAAACAAAAAAATAAAAATAAAAAATATCAAGATATTCCAAGCCAAGTTACTTGACGACGTTTCGGTTGTTAGTATCCACAATCGTCTTCGGGTGATGACTGGACTAATTCCTCCGAGAGATGACTATTTATGGGTCATTCAAGTAATTTTACATATCTTCTCTTTCCTCTTTCCGCTTCACCGGTTTCGCGATGACCGTTTGGTGGGAGTTGGACATTTTTCGCTTGATTATGGGTTTCCATATGTTGCGTATCTCTACGCTAGCTTGGCTGAATACATTATTGGCCCAGTGTTCTTCGTGTGTATGCTTTCAGCTTGGGACCACTCTATGTTATGTTGATGGGTCTTGGAGTAGCAGTCCGCATCTGGTGGCCTGGATTTTTTGAGGCTGCTACGGATATGTTTCCGGATCTGAAGCAAGTTCAGATGTTGTACTTGGACCCAATTCTTCTTATCCTTTCCGATAATTCTCTGATATGAGGATGTGGAAGTTCAAGCACTGCTTGTGACGGCTTCAATTCCTTGCGGGCCTCTTGTTGTCACCATCGCATTGGAGTAGCCATTCCGTTGAAGATCATTTTTGATGATGTCTAGTTCCTTCTCGAGACCTTCCTTCGTATTACAGAGCGAAAGCACGGTCTATTAGAGTCTTGATGATAGTTCAGATACTGTTCCGTGTGAGTTGGTTTTCGGTATACAGATGTTTCCCACTTAGTGTCGGTCCTCTTCGCCAATACGTCTAAGGATGGCAATTCGTTCTTTATTGTGAAAGTGATGGAAGGTCTCACGCTATTGATGTGTTTCAGGAAGGCGTCTAGTTCAGTATTTCCATGGTCCATATTATGTAGATGTCAACATATCTCAACCAGAATTGGGGCTTCTTGTGAGCTTCTTCAATGGCCAGAATTTCATACCACTCCATATATATGTTGGCTATAACTGGTGAAAGTGGTGATCCCATTGGCAGTCCCTCATCTTGTGTAAAAAATTCGTCCTTCGGTTGGAAATAACAGTTTCGTATACAACATCCTCTTAAGGAAGTACTCCTCTTGACGTATCAACTGTAACTGTTGCTGATACGTCAAGAAAAGTACCTCAACCACGTACTGATGATGACTGTTGCCGTTGCAATTGAAACGTTTAGAGATTGTAACCAAACACGACCACGGCAAAACCCGGCAACCAACCACAACATTGTAGAATTTTGTTGCTAAGACATTGGATATTTTGATGATACAGTTAAAGTTCTTTGATTTTCAACTATTTCACTCTCAAGATTGTCATTTTAGGAATATTTGCTGGTGCCGGTTTTCTGTAATAATAAGATTTTTCACTGATTTTTGTAATTCATTGGCTAGAGTGAAAAATAATTTACATCAACCTTGGAAGAAGGCGTCTTTTCTCTCCCACTTGTGCTGGTTAAGTTTTTTAACTTCGTTATATATTCCCAAGTAACTTTACGTATGTACCATTTTCTTCTAGCTGTTACTTCGTAATCTCCTAAGAATGCTATTACAATCTACAATACCCGTGTGAGGTACGTTCACGTTTTGTAATCCTTCCTTCAATTGCAGATTTCTATCGTACATCGATCTTTATCTTCTCTGTTGTCATATCTGTAGGGATGTGTGATGATTACAGAGTGTGTACTGCTCTTTTAACAAATTTCTCTGAATTATCGGTACTCGTTCTGTCTGTGTTGATAAGTTTTCTGCGTGTTTTATTGCAGTCTGAATTAAAGTACCTGTAGTACCATTGGGTTTCAGAATAGCTTGTATTGAGTAATCAAATCTATTCTGTGTTGTGTGTTCTGTGTTGTGTTCAACTATAATAATGTTTTCATTAGGTTTCATTGGGTTATTCATTTGAACCGAAAAGTTGAGATAATTCTTTGGATTTTGCATTTTGCATTGGAAAGCGGGTTGGAATTGGTGTACTGTCTAGGGCTACGCCACTGAAGGCATCGTCCTTGATCATCGTAGATGCATGTATCTGTGAATTCGTTGTTTGTATACTGAAGTTTTTTCTCTCTGGTGTCTTATCTTTTAGATTTTTTTTGGGGGGTTTTCAATTCTCAGTTTGAATCCTCGATTATTTTTTGTTTTTTATTTAGATGGTTTAGTTCCATTTCACCCTTTATGGTTTCCGGTGTGAACTTTGCATGGGCATCACTGATATAGACAATCGTCAAAATAATGGTCCCAGAAAGAAAACATTCCTGTCATCAAGCTATCCATTTTATAAGAGAAATAAGCTGAACCGTGTGACAGTTCGTATGCTGAATTTACGAATAGCAAGTAAAATGTATTTTGTTGATAACGATGGAGGTAAGAAATGGGTTATTTGTAGTTAGATGATGTCGGAGCACTGTTTGTTGGATGTTGAAAGTTCAAAAATGGTCTGATGATTTTTTTATCCCTCCATTTCCCTTCCATTAGCCTTAGGCACTTTTTTAACATACGGTATGGAAACGGATCATTCAACTATCAAATTTTTTTTCAGTGGCATCCAGAATCGATGGAGGAAAATATGTCCCAAGAGCCATCCTCTTGGATTTGGAACCAGGCACCATGGACGCAGTTCGATCCGGAGTCTATGGAAAGCTCTTCCGACCCGACAACTTCGTCTTCGGCCAATCAGGAGCAGGAAACAACTGGGCCAAAGGCCATTACACCGAAGGAGCGGAACTAGTGGACGCTGTACTAGATGTCGTACGAAAAGAAGCCGAAAATTGTGACTGCCTGCAAGGGTTCCAGCTCACACACTCCCTTGGAGGTGGTACCGGTTCCGGCATGGGTACCCTCCTGATCTCTAAGATTCGCGAGGAGTACCCTGATAGGATAATGAACACCTACTCCGTGATGCCCAGTCCAAAAGTATCAGACACTGTTGTAGAACCTTACAACGCAACTTTATCCGTACACCAACTTGTAGAAAATACTGACGAAACCTACTGCATCGACAATGAAGCCCTCTATGATATTTGCTTCAGAACTCTGAAGGTTCCAAACCCCAGCTACGGCGATTTGAACCATCTGGTGTCCCTCACCATGTCTGGTGTCACCACCTGCCTCAGGTTCCCTGGTCAGCTCAACGCTGATCTCCGAAAACTGGCTGTGAATATGGTTCCCTTCCCGCGTCTTCACTTCTTTATGCCTGGTTTCGCTCCTCTTACGTCACGAGGTAACCAGCAGTACAGGGCGTTAACTGTTCCCGAACTTACACAGCAAATGTTCGACTCGAAGAATATGATGGCCGCCTGTGATCCTAGACATGGAAGGTATCTTACTGTTGCTGCCGTATTCAGAGGTAATTTTTCAATTTAATCAATGGAATTGGCCGATATTTGCTGATGTTTTGCTGTACTTTAGCTTCTTCAGGCATGTTTAATACATATTGAACACACCTGGAGATGCTATTGCACATTGTAACGCTTATTGCAATTTTTGAAGCTATTCAATGAATTTCTCACAATAAGGTCGACCTAATTACGTTATTCAGTTTTTCCATTTTCATGGAATGAACTTAAAAACCTCATAATTAACATTTGGGTTGGTCATGACCATGTCGGTCGGAGCCGGGCGGTTCAACGTGGATATTTTGTTCACTCAGTCAATCGGCCGAAGTTGGAGTCGATGGTTCAAGCTGCAGACTGAACGATCGACTTTTACTTGCTATTGAGGTGAGACCTCGTTAGTCCTTAGCTCGCACAAGTTTCGACTTCTGAGGGTTATCGTTTGTAGGGGTGCGGTAGCTGGTTAACGGAAAAAACATATTTTGAAAATATTTTTCTAACATTTGGAGTTTCATCATTACTTCTTCTTGGCTATTTTGATTATTTCTGGTCCAAAGTTATATACAGTGTTATTCAAATTCGTTTCTGTACATGGGGAACTCGCAAGCGATAAGAGAGTGTCGGATAAATTGTAGCAAAGTTGCGTATTTTAGAGACTTATTCAATGATGTGAAAAAATCGAATATAGCTCTTTACATAGGGAGATGTGAAAGTTGCTATTGTGTTTTCATTTAACTCAGTCAATCAATTTTCAGGGCCGTAATTTAAAAGGGAATAATTCACCCAATTATAATCAAATATTACCTAACCTCTCCGAAATATAAAATGAAAATTTAATTTCTCAGTACGAAGTGAACGTCTACGATCCAAAAACTATAACAAAAAATACAGGTCCGTATTTAAAAATTCGAAGATAGGGTGGCCCAAGTCAGATAACACCCTGTATAAAAGATTTATGAACATATTGAGATAGTCCACATCAAGTGCCAATGGCAAAATGTGGATAGATTTTCAATATGTATGTGAATAAAGAAGATATAGACAAAAAATAATTTGGGATTTTTTGTTTTTTCCTGTATATCTCCAGAACCAAATGAGCTACATTCGATTTTTTTACATCATTGAATAGGTCTTTGAAATACGCAACTTTGCCATAATTTCACCGACACTCTTTCTCTTATCGTTTACGAGATCCCCATGTACAGAAACGAATTTGAATAGCCCTGTAGATATTTTCACAAGTGGAAAAGGAAGAAAAACAGTTAATGTTTGCGTTAAATCAGATATTCTTCCTCTTTTTCAACCCGGACTATAGTCCGCGTTGAACCGCGTCTATTCGACGTTTCGGATTCTGCTTTGAAGCCATTTTCAAGAACCAATGATGATGGAGAAGAAACGATGACATTTTATAATAGTAACAAGATGCATACTGAACACAATTGTTTGCATGTTTTTTAATTGAAGAGTTTTTTCGGTTTCAGTTCTTTTATACTATACAAATAGTACACAACTGATAAAATGGGCATTTCATATCTCACACCGAGAACATTTTATTTTGAAACTATAAATTTCGACATCAACTCAGGAATGTTTCGCAATATTCAATGTTTGAATATTGGATGTTGAAAAATGTGATATAAAAGAATTTTACAAAAAAGTCAATGAAGTGCTTATGAATTTTGTGATAATAACCCAAAATCGTTACAATGTGGTTTTTCCTGTTGATAAATTTCATGAATGAAAGTGTGGATGTTAGGACCAGTAGCCACATTGTTTCATTTTCTCTAATTTATCGACTTATATGGAATTCATTGATCCCAACTGTCTATTGGAGGTGTTCAAATGTACCTGGGCTGTTGGAGAAATATTCTGATATTTCAAATTTTTCAAATTTCGCGGGCTACGTATGTAGCGATTTTTAAATTTATTCATGTAGTCCAGGCAGCTGGTGTTTTTTTGTGGAAAGTTTTGCAAGAATTTTGAAAATTAGTTCCAAATAGCATTTGGGGCTGCTGAATACGAATCTGAGGTTAGCCAACAAAAATTTTCACGGGAAATATGTTTTTTTTGCAAAAATCGTGAAAAAATTCGACTTAGTTGTGGGTTTTTGCAAATAACTCGAAAACTACGCAATCGGCGTAGAAAAGTCAACCATACAAAAAGATAGAGAATAGAATTTCCTACATTTTATGTACATGAAGTTTTTTTCTACGGTCAACCGTTAAGCCACGGGAGAATGCCAAAAGTGGGGNCAGCCTCTTGGGCTTATTGCGTTTATTTTCCCATCTTCTCATGACACCCATTCCATCAGTCTCGTTCCCTGTACTAGTTTGTACAGGTCCCATGTTGGATGTTCGTCATATTCTTCTGGACGTATACCATGCCATCGGTCAAATTCAGCCTGAAAAAAAATTGATGATATATCATCACCTCGTTTCATTTCAAAAGAACTGGCCAATTGAATTTATCACAGTGCTTGGATTTCTTCACAAGAGAGAAAACTTTGGATGGACATGAAAAACCGACGTGTTCAAGTCGCAAGGAAAGAAGAAAATGTACAAAGTCTCTATCAATTCATAAGTTTCCCCGTATTTTAGTCATCCATTTTAAAAGATTTTCTCTAACAGAAAGATTAAGAGGCAAGTTAAATGTTGTCATCGAATTTCCTCTAGATGTATTAGATATGAACAATTATGCAGCAGACAATGTGACTCGTTGTCGTTATAATCTATATGCACTTGGCTATATATGGGTCTACTGACATTATTCAGAATTCTGCAGACATCTTTATACTGGCTCGTGAAACGAATGAAATGATTCACACGTGTCTCCAATTTCACCAAAAGTGGAGATGCATACATCCTCTTTTATGAAAAGGAGGAAACGAGTTCGCACCTTTGAGCGTTTTGAAATGTGTCAAGATGGAGAAGGAGAAGGTCAAAAATTTATCTCTCCTAAAAATATACCCTTTAAATTTATTCATATAATGTTCTATACCTTTGTTCAATTGATTTCTTTTTATTCAGAAAGAATTCTTTTGAATAAATTGTATTTCAAAGATCACGATCTGGAAGTCGAAATAAATCAGTTGATGAATCATGTGGCAGAACATAAATGGTGTTGGCTTATTATCATTTTCAATTAACTTGTTGTTAGATCATTAAAGTCGGATAAAGAATACTTTATCATATATTTGCGGTTTATGAAACAATCGCACTTCCTCTGTGTTTCTTAAAATTCCAATGACGTTGGCTTCCTAGATATGACCGTTTGATCAATGAATACAATACAGTTTGAAAGATCCATTCTGAATGAGGTATTTCATAATAACACTAAAAATTCATAAAAAACATTTCCCTTAATTTTTAGGGGGAGTATTTTCACATCTTTTTGTGTTTTGGAGTTTTGAAAGTAGTGCCACTTCTCGGACAGTATCTCAACTATTTAACTCACTTCAAACGTACTCGATGAATGAGGAAGGTATCATTTTAGAGGATTTCATGATTAGTAGCAAACGTTACTTCTATTCTCCACTAGATGGCAATACATAAAAAAAATTCAAGACTTCATGTTTTGCTTTCCAATTTTTACGATTTAAAAATTTTATAAAAAAAAACAATACGGTTAGTGTCGACCGTTCATTGATTTGATATTAACTGATGATTCAATAATAATTCAATAGAAAATGACACATGCCCGCCGGAAAACAACTACTTATCCAGCTAATACCACGCTGGATATTGAATTATATCTGACAGAGATTTATGCAAGATACCTCACAGAGAAATCTAAAGCAAATGGAACTTCAAACGTTCAAGCCAGTCTCTATATACCTACACAGTAGGTTTAATGGACTGACTCATGGCGTTCCGCAAGGGTCGGTTTTAGGGCCCCTTCTTTTTATCATCTATATAAATGATCTTTTCTATCAATTTTTGCCTAATAAAATAGTTATCTATGCTGATGACGCTACCATACTCAACACCGACCGTGTTCTACACAAAATTACAAATATAGAGGATGAGATATTAGACTCAGCTGAACACTGGTATTCTGATAACATGCTGACTCTGAATATAGATAAAACGCAGAAATTACACTTCTTCAGCAATCATACGTCGAGTAAAAGTGATACCGTTAACCTTCTGGGAATAACACTGGATGACAATCTAGCCTGGGGTCCACATATTGACATTCTTTGTAAAAAAATCTCCAACTATATCTTTGTTCTCCGCAAACTAAAAACATTTACAAATCGAAAAACTCTACTCAGTACTTTTCACGCCCTCATTCAATCACATCTGAATTACGGTGTCATGTTGTGGGGAAATTCAACGCACGCCAGTAAAGTGTTTATTAGGTATACAGAAAAGAGCGCTGAGAGTTATGGCTAATGCTGAATACAGAGATCATTGCCGTCCGCTATTTGTCAGGTATGGTATCATGACAGTGCCTTCATTATATATCTATCATACTCTTCTTCACATTCATAAACATAAAGACATATTTACAACCAGTTCGGATTTCCATACTTACAATACAAGAACAAAAGACATTTTACTTGAGCCTCGATATCGTCTAGATAAATCGGCTAGGAATTTTCCCAATATTAAACTTTATAATAAATTGACTGAGAAGACAAGAAATCTTGATAGGATAAAATTTAAATCTGCGATAAAAAAAATCTCTTTTACAATACGGTTTTTACTCTGTTAATGAATATTTGATTAATGATTACTCTATATAGCCAGCTAGTCTAGACATTAAGGTCAAACCCTCTCATTTATTTATATATAATGTATATGTGTAAATTTTGTGTGTTGTAATGTTATACAAATAGCTGAATTTATGCCAGAAGTATACTTGATTTCTAATCTGAATGTTAGATTAGTATTTATATTTTTAAATCTTTTATTGTAACCTAGTACTAAGGAACTGACTTGTTATAAATGTATCTTTGTACTTAATGTAGTAAAATAAACATCTATCTATCTATTTGGGGGCAGAACCACATACATGAGAACAATACTCCAAAGAAGGTCTGATCTGAGTTTATGAAACATCAAAAGTTGCTGAGGTGTGTACAGTTTTCTTGTTTGGAACAGTGTTCCAAGCTTTTGAGAAGCAGCTTTTGCAATTTCAGCGACGTAACTGTGCCAAGACAAGTCTGGAACATCGAAGAGAGCTTGGAGATTCATCTCTCTTCTATAGATACTTTCACGGGAAGTGTTTAAGTGACTTGGCACATTTGATTCCACCAAGAGCGGTACATATCAGAAATACGCGACGGACTGTCTCTGCTCATTGTTAGGGAAGATTGAACATCTAGGGATAATACTAAAGTCTAGACTCACCTGGAACCAACATCCAGGAGAGATATAAAGGAAGAGGGAGGCAGACTAAGGCACCAATATTGAGACAGTGGTTGGAATCTTATATGATATATTAGTTATCTTCAGTTTGTCTCGAGATTTTTCAGTTTCAGGCCCATTTTCAAAAAAAAAAACGGTAGTCTAGACAGAAATTGAAAATCTGAATGAATAAAACAACTTCTGAAATAATCAGTATATTCTACCACTCTGTAGTCAATTCTGGAGAATACTCGTGAAAGTGATTAAATATTTTACATGTAAAAAACCTTCATGAAAGTTTACGAGATGGGCTGATGGGTTTTTCAGTTAAGAAGACACCCAAATTCCACATTCTAATGAAGTGTCTTATATTTCACTCTGTAATTGTTATAAATTGCACCACTTTTCAGCAACTGATTTCTGCAGAATTTTTTTATTTCAACCATTCAACCATCTCACTCTTAATCGGTTTTTTCATAAGCTTCAATTGATATTGATACCGTTATTTCTCCCATTCTCCACTGTTCTTGTTCCGTTTAATTAATTGTCGTGACTTTGCATTTCGAATAATTGGATATTTTGTTATTTGAGGAAGATTTCACTTACCATCTAAAATTTATTTTCATGACCTTCGATTGCGCATTGCTCTCAACTGTGTATTTTGTTCTATGATGTTAAACATCATACTTTCACATTCGTTGATGGAAATATTCAAAGTATTGGTTTTGTCTATGCAAATTGTCGGATTGGGCTACAAACTACACTTTGAAGAAAATGGTTAAATTGACTAATTCTGACTACCTATGCCATAAATTATTGAACAAACAAAGCACCTGAAAGTGCTCAGAGGATTTGCAATAATACATAATAAGTTTCAAATCCGCACACGAACAATTGCAAAAATTAAAAAAAGTTCAGTTTTTTTAGAAAATCACTCTAGAACGATTGCCATTAAATAATTTATAAAAGTTTCCTATAGAATATGAGATTTGAGACCACATCAATTTTTGGTATTCCTGATTATTATAATGTATAAAATTATAAGAAGAAAATATATTGTGTTAAAATCAAGATGGATTGATTTATAAAAATGGCTGAGTTAGATATTTCATGCACGAATAATCTGCATGAAGAAAATCAATTTGTGAGGTTGATGCTGGATTATATAATGGACCTACAAAAAAGCTGTCGTTAGAATCGATTTCAATACATTTTTGCAAAAGATAATCTATCAATTTGCTATTGTTTAATAATAATAATAATGATAATAACGCATGCTATCGGTATGAAATTCGGGATAGACAAATGTGCAATGGTCCATCTCAAAAGGGGACGATGCGGGGACTACGGAGAGGATGTGCAGCTCGTAGATGAAAGCATCCTACACCATTTGGATGCCGGAGAGACGTATACTTACCTCGGGGTGGAACAACGCCACTCACAAGAGGTAACAGCAGTGAAGAACTCTCTCCGCGGCAAGTATCAGCACAAACTTCGACAGATGTGGTTATCAGAACTGTCGGGGAAGAACAAAGTTGCTGCAACAAATATGCTTGCCGTTTCAACCTTACTCTACTCGTTTGGAGTAGTGAAGTGGACACGGGAGGAGCTGTATCAACTCGACGTAAATACCCGAAAAAATGATGCATCTCTATAGAACTTTGCATCACAAATCGTCCGATCCATTGTCAGAGACTTTACATTTTGTGAACGGAATGTGGTAATTTTTTCTTTGGCGTGTATTTATGGAGTTAAAATCTCCCGTCAAAACAAATTTTTGTATATTTTTCAAAATAAAGACGGGTAATTCATAAATATAGACAGACGTAAGGATCAAAATTCTGAAATGTTTGTAAAGGTCCCTAAAGGCATGTGTACTAGGAAGTCTAGCTATTATTCTCACTATTCTTTTTTGTATAGAAAAAATATTTTTTGCCAAAGTGGAATTTCTCCACAAGCATATTCCATACCTAATTCGTGACACAACCTGTGCATGGTATAGAGCCACTACCTCGGGTGTTACAAGTATATGTTTCTGTATGAAACATACAGAATTCAATCTTTTCATTAAGTTTGTACAGTTACCTTTCCAGCTTACATTTTCACCAAAAAAAAGTCCAAGAAAATTGGTTTCATCTGTACTGTCAATGGATACATCAACACTCATCTTAATTCTGAGAGGATCGCATTTTCTTTGATAGTTATGAAATCGTATAATTTGGGTTTTATGAGCGTTCAAATTCATGAAATTTGTATTGCACCAGTTCTGCATCAGTTCTAGAGTTTTTTCTGTATCTTGTTGCATATTTAATTCGTTTTTTTGTGAAATTATCAATGACGTGTCGTCTGCATACATTGTTACATGAACGCTTTTCAATTTATCCAGATCGTTAGAGTAGAATATGAATAAAATAGGTCCCAGGATCGATCCTTGTGGTACACCAATATTAATGGCTTTACTCTTTGAATTGACGAAACCAACCCTTTCAGATTGGACATTTGGAATACATACGTACTGATGACGGTGTTTCAAAAAAGAAGAAATCCATTCTAATGTTTGAATTTTATCTTCTTGAATGAAAATCAGGAAAACAACAAGGTTCCAATTTAGGTCCATTACTTTTATTGCTATTCAGTCACCAACTTCAGTACTCTAAAAACAAGAGAAATCATGTAGATAGATATGTATTGAAATATAACATGAATATAATATAAATAAATCTCTTTTCTAAACTTTTTTTGTAACTGAATTTGAACAATTTCGGACTTTATCAAACTACATTAAACTTGAACATTATTTTTTTTACTAATCACCTGTACCTTTACATATTTGATTCAAATAAGGTATGTGCAGATAATTGGGAAGCATTTACTAATTGATATCATTCAACAGTAAATTAAAGTTTTGAAGTGGAAAGAGTTGATTTTTTGTGATGTCAGATAAAATACGCCAATTTTCAACTGTAGTTTGAGCCAGAACGGTTTGTCGGAGAAAAAAACCTGAATTATGAAATTTGTAGGAAATTTCATGTACTTCCATTTTGTGAAGAAAGGTAATTCACGAAAAGTTGATAGTTTTCGATTTATAAGCAGAAAACTGCCAAAAAATGGGATTTTTGATCTTTTCTTGTGTTTTCTTCAATGTTCCGTAAGGAAATTTTATCAGCAAACCTCATATTCGGATTCAGCACTCAAAAAAAAACATAAAAACTGGAAGAAATCAAAACTACCCGAGAATGTTCCCGCTACGGGTTCGAGCACGAATTGACTGTATTATATTCCTAGGACAGACATTTAAAGGCCCATCCCGTGTCAACGAACCCCATACAACACAATAATACATGAAGCGTTGTAAACACACCTATTTCTGTACAGTAAACTTTTAGTTGTCGCCACCACGCCTCTTCCTTCATCCGCCGCCATAGCATAAAACAACAATAAAACCCCTGATTGTTTGTTTACAGGCAGAATGTCCATGAAAGAAGTAGATGAACAAATGCTGGCCGTCCAGAACAAAAACAGCAGTTACTTCGTGGAGTGGATCCCGAACAATGTGAAAACGGCTGTTTGTGATATCCCTCCAGTGGGACTGAAGATGTCCTCCACGTTCATCGGCAATACTACAGCCATCCAGGAGTTGTTCAAACGGATTTCTGAACAGTTCGCAGCCATGTTCAGGCGCAAAGCTTTCTTGCACTGGTACACTGGTGAAGGTATTTACCTATTTATTTACAATTTTATTTATTTAGGAAGACACCACTTTAAAATCCTATTTCATCCGATATTGAACTCGCAACTTATTGCCAGTAACTTTCATAGCCAGCTCCGTTTCTATACCTAAATTTTCTATGCTCATAGAATTAATATTTTTTAGATTATGACTGAGGCTCTTTCTAACAATTTCGCTTCATTTAGTGTAAATTCGTGTCGGAGAGATTTAAAAATCTGTCAAAAAATTTATGATTAGGGTAGTTTCCCAACTTTGGCCCGTTTCTTGGGAAGTCTAAACTGAATTATTCATTGGAGTTATGTCACTAACTTTATTGCGAGCATCTGTGTCCAAAGTTTGGAATTCCATATAATGCAATTGTGTGCGGAGAGATTGGAAGAATCCAACCTCATACACGAGTCCATAAAAATATTCTCGGACAGTCAGTCTTGGCTCTTATCGAGCAACGTCTAAATTGGTAGCAAATTGCCAAAAACGACTTTCCTCGTTAGGAAGACGTAACAGATTGTCTCTGGTCTGGATTCCTGGCCATACTGGCCTGGAAGGCAATGAGGCTGCTGACTCCCTTGCAAAGGAGGGTGCTGCAAGCAGCTTCATCGGACCAGAACCTGTCATTGGCATCGCTTTAGACTTTGCCAAACAAACATTGAATACCTGGATGGCAAGAAAATTTATGGACTTCTAGAAGAATCATCCATGATTGGCTTACTCCAAGGCATTTATTCACCCTTCGAAGCTTGATACCAAACAGTTATTGGACTACAATAGGGATGAACTACGATGTCTACATGCCTTCTTACAGGTCATTGTCATTTGAATCATCATATGTAGAGACTCGAACTGACCGAAGACAGTGTGTCGCCTCTGTTTGGAAAATGATGAAACAGCAGAGCGTATACTTTGTGCCTACCCCGCTGGGGCCGAATCAGGTTCTTAGAGTTCGGCAGAGCTGTACTCTTACCATCTGACCTGAAAGACCACCCACCAAACAAACTAATCGGCTTCGTTAAGAAACTGGGTTTATTTGGTCGAGTGTGAATAGCTGTGAGCTACAATAAAGACTTGCGGGTTGCAGTGGAGAGTCGAATAGACCCACTCACTTTAGACCTAACCTAACTTAACCTAATGCAATCTAAATAATAATTCCGAATGCATTACTTTCTGATAAACATTCAAGATATCTCTCTTACAATATAGGAATTTTTTTTTACCTTCATCCATTCATTTCCTTCGTAATTGATTCCTTCTTCAGCTGCTCTACTTCTGTTGTTGGTATTCAGGGAGGTAAATTTGGGGTATACTTCGTTTTTTATACATTGGTTGAAAAATCATACGTTTTGTGTCATTAAAGCACATCGTAGAATAAGTTTGAAATACAAAAAACACCTAGGGTCTTTCTTAAGATATATGATGGAATTGGCCGACACTTTACAGTAAAGACGCGCCCGAAAAAGCCATTGTATGGCTGAATACGTGTTCCATTGTTGTAAAACCGTTTAGTGAAAATTTCCCAATGAAGTGTCTTTTGAATACGTTCGGGCAATGTATCGAGCGCTTCGCCCATTTCACGGTCGCCATAATCCTGTGGCTTCCTATCGAGAAGAATATTCGCAATGTGGTGGATAAGTTTGAGTCCACTGGTTCAGTAAACGATCGACGAACGCCCTCACGACGACGAAACGCAAGATATGCCGAAAAGCATCGGCGCTGCCTATGAGAGTGTGCAGGGGAATTAGATTCATCGCTCACAAGAACTCGGCCTTTCGCAGACCACAATTTGGCAAATTTTGCGACATGACTAGGGCGGAACCCCAGGAACTAAAGGTGAACGACAACCACGTGTGTCCGCTAAATGGGCTCTGGAGCAGTTGGCAACTGTCCCTAATTTTCTTCGAAAAAACATCTTTAGCAATGAGGCCCATTTCTGGATGTGTGGGTACGTGAACAACTGAAATTGTCGAATTTGGGACGATACCAATCCATATGAGATCCAAGAACGTCCGATGCATCCCGAAACAGTCACTGTTTGCTGTGGATTTTAGGCTGGCGGGGTCATAGGACCATATTTTTCTGAGAACGACGTTGGCCACGCCATTATTGTCAACGGCGAGCACGATGATTGCCGACTTCTTTTGACCTGAATTGGATGGTCTGGGCGCCAACGACATGTGGTTTCAACAGGACGTCGCTACGTGTCACACAGCTCATGTCTCATTGGATATTCTGCACGAACGATTTGAGGACATGGTCACCTCACGTAGAGGTTATATGAACTCGCCACCGTGCGATTAAACGGTTTTTTTTTAAGTCGCAAGTGTATGTGGATACAGCAGTCCTCGAAGCCAACATAACCTAGCCTGATTTATGTGCCAGTGTCATGGAAGGTTGTACCTTTCAAATGCCCTTCACCCAGAGAAAACGTGGCGGGCATTTGAAGGATGGTATATACCACGCATAGGCATCAGTCTTTCAAAGGAATAAAAAATGTCGATGATATCTCACAAACACTTCGTTTTATTTGAATTTAAAGATAAGAACCGCCCAATGAAAGACCGTATACTTTCATATGTACATGATAACATTCAGATTATACATTTTTTTGATTTTTGAGATTTTGGACTTCTAGTTCTCCATGTTTAAAATGAACTATCAGGAATATTCCTATATTTTTTGCATGAATTTGAAGAGAGCCAGAACCATTATTTCCCAAAAAATAATCCTTCCTAAAAATATACACCTTTCAATTCCAATAGAGATTATAATTGTTATATATTATGTATGTTATGTTAGACAGCAAGCTCTTACTACATTTTTAGGAGAGGGGTCATATGCCACTTGTCAAAAAATAATCAATCAATCAATCATGCTTTATTGTCCCAGAAATCCTTCTTGTGATACACTGTTTGGAACCTTTGATGTAGTAATGAATATCACTGGTGTTTGTCTCAACACCAAATCGTTATTACTGGTGAAGGTATTTACCTATTTATTTACAATTTTATTTATTTAGGAAGACACCACTTTAAAATCCTATTTCATCCGATATTGAACTCGCAACTATTACTCTTTAATCTCGGGATTCCAACCTTGAACTAGGAATTTTCATTCAGAACTACAACTGCGTATGAAGTCTTCCAACTGCCTTTCAGGCCAGTATGGCCAGAAATCCAGACCAGAGACAATTTGTTAAGTCCTCCAATTGGGAAGAGTCGTTTTTGGCAATTTGCTACCAATTTAGACGTTGCCCGGTAAGAGCCAAGTGCTTCCAACGCCGTTCGACTGCCCGAGAATATTTTTATTGACTTGTGTATGAGGTTGGATTCTTCAAATCTCTCGGCATAAATTTCCGCTTGAAATACAGTCGCATAGGTTCCTAGGCAGATTGATATCTCTGTCTTGGGTCTGCGACTGAAAACACTTGCACCAGAACCGAAAGGTGTTTTTGATCCACCTGTGAACCAACATTTATCTGCTTTTAATATTTCCTTCTCCCGGAAGATCCAGCCCTCTTTACTCGGAAACAGTACTACATAAGGCAGTTCGTAGTTGACAGTTGGAGGCATAAAGTCAGAGGTCATTTCTAGAATGCTGTGACTTCCACTGTCAACCAATAGTCTGTTGCACTCTGAATTACATTGATTTGTGCAATTGGCAATGTGCCCAAGTCTATATGCAGTCCATCTAACCTCTCTCTCCAGGTCAATATGTAAACAATCGAATTCTAAAATCCTACTGATCCTGTAATAATGAATATTTCCTCAAATCTGATATGCCTTCATGAGTTACAAAATGTGTTGTTGATGTCTTTATGAAATTTACTTTGAAATTTTTTGTTTGAGTCTAACAAACCACCTTTGTTGAAGGTATGGACGAAATGGAGTTTACTGAAGCAGAATCCAACATGAACGACTTGGTTTCTGAGTACCAGCAGTATCAAGAAGCTACAGCTGATGACGAATACGAAGCAGAAGAGGAAGCCGCTGCAGATGATTTTAATTGTTGACGAATCATATAAGATTTTCCTTCATTTTGAATCGGTATAAGTAAAAAGCTCTTCATCAGGACAATAGAAGCGAATTTTGAAATAGAACCGAAGATAGATATTCGCGAAATAACGTTAGTAATTTTCAAAATAAATATTCGGGTTATTGAAAGAGATACTATTTACTTACAATTGTTTTTTAAAACTGTGTATTGATTTTATTGGAGATAATTGTTTTTATGAAATATATTTACTAATTGTAGGAGTATGTTCAGTTCTATTTTGGAATTCTAGGTTAGAAACATCGTAATTTATTGAATTTTATATTTATATTTGTGAAAAAAATCATTCGACAGTACTTTAAATAAGTTCACTCATATCAATAGTTTTTTGTACTCACGGCTTTCATTATTTTTTTATAGTTCATCACAAAACTATTCTGCTTCTCACAAAAACGTAAAATATTGAATTGATCCCAAAATATTATTTGGAATATGCTTGAGTGTTGTTAACTAGTCGGTAATTTTTCTAGGGAATTTCTTAGATTCCCTAATATTGCTAAAATTACTATTTGAATAATAGATTTTAGGTTGGTAGGATTAAGTATTATTGTGGAATATTTTGACGGTTTTTTCGGGGAGTTCGATGGAAAACTTTTTGAAAATATGGTTTTTATATTCCACGCGCATGTTGCAAGTAATATTTTTTCAAATTCAACGTGTCACAGATTGCTGTTCACATTTTTATACGATTTTTTAATCTCATTTTTTACATTTTTTCCAGAAAATTCGTAGAATAAAGACTGACTTTTCTACCACATTGATTGTTTCATTTTTCAATTCAGAACTAGTTGTATGCTCCGCTATTTTACATTAAATGTCAATGAAATCCCTCTATTCATCATTACAATACAAGTCCACTTCTCGTTTGAACAAAAGTTCACGTCACAAGTCTGCTGCGTAGTTATCCGCAGCAGCTGCAAATTTAGGATAAATGAAAGCAAAAAACTTCACAATCAGATAATTACGGATAAACTGCTTGCCAATCCCAACGGGTCTAGATCCTTCTGAACGATAGCTAAAGCTGTTAATCAGAACTTTACAAAATCCACAATTCCACCACTGACACAAGCGAATAGTTCCCTCACCCCTTTTTTTGTATCAAGATGGAGTAGTAGAAAGCCAAAAACTTTCTTTCCCAAAAATTAATCACTCCTAAAAATATAACCCCTTCAATTCGAATAGTTCAATTGCAACAACAGCCATAGAAAAAGGAAATCTACTAGCTGAACAATTTGCGTACGACGTTTCGATTGTTAGTATCTACAATCGTCTTCGGGTGATAACTGGACTTATTCCTTCGAGATCTGACTATTTATAGGTCATTCGAGTGCTTTCACCTATCCCCTCTTTCCTCTCCCCGCTTCATTGGTTTTAGCGGGAGATGACCTTTTGGCAGGAATTGGTCGCTTTTCGCTTGATTAGAGGTTTCCATATGTTACGTATCCCTACGCTAGCTTGACTAAATGCGTTGTTGGACAACGTGGATTTCAGCTTAAGCCCACTTGATGTTATGTTGATGAGTCCAAACATGCTCTGCTTTCCGGATTTGCTGGTTTCTCCTCGCTGTGTGTGTTTCTTGTGCTCAGCAATGCGATCTCTCAATGGCCTCTCAGTTTCACCGATGTATGATTCTCCGCACTCGCAGGGTATTCGGTAAATGCAATTCTTGGAATCGCAGTCCGCGTTTAGTGGCCTGGTGTTCGTGAGGCTGCTACGGATAGTTTTACCGGATCTGAAGCAGGTTCTGATGCTGTACTTGGAACCAATACGTCTTATCCTCTCCGATAATCCTCTGATGTAGGGAAGTGCAAGCACTGGTTGTGACGGCTTCTCTTCCTTGCGAGGCTCCTGCTGTCTCTCAGCCATAGTAATTCCATAATTACTTCTATAGGTAGATTCGTTCTCTCTTTCAGGTTCTCGTCTTCGGATAGCTTTCTCTGTATGTTTTGGAGTGCTTCTTCGACCTTAACGTTGGTGTAAAGGCCTTCCTCGTCGAAACTAATTAGTTGATCTTCCTGTGTGACCTCAATTGACCCTAGTAGTTCGACAAAATGCCTTGAATTCTTCACAAAAGACGATGTATTAGCTTGTAATGGTTGTATTAAGGGAAGTAAAAATCTAGACAAGTTTTGAGTAGTCGAGTCTCTGGAGCTGATGATCGGTCTAAGCGGAACGTCCTTCTTGTGGATTTTGGGGAGTCCGTACAAGTGAGGGGGCTTACTGTGGTGCGGGGTTAGCGATGATCTGTCTTTGTGCGAAAAATGACTTGGTGTTTTTTCAAAATCTGGTGTAAGTTTCTTTCGATCGATGCAGTCGGATCCCGTACGATCTTTGTGTATCGTCCCTTCTGAAGAACTTCTTCGATCTTCTGTTCGTAGAGAATGGTATCCATTACCACAGTAGCGTTTTCTTTACCTGAAGGTAGGATCTATTTTTACTTGTATTTTATTTCACTATTATTTCATTTCATGTTTATTTTGGTTAATATAATTGTTATTTTCAGCTATTCATTTAAAATTTTCCTTTTTTAGTTTTTTCATGGATTTAAAATAATTTCATATAGTAGACAATGGAAGTCCGAACTAGTGAAATTCATCAGGAAACATTGTCAATCAACTTCAAACAAGTTTGTTGGTGGTTAAAATGGGACCAGTATGTCTGGGCACAATCAGGTCGCTGGAACTGCAAAGGCTGCTTCTCAAAAGCTAGGAACACTGTTCCGAACCATAAAACTCTACACACCTCAGCAACTTTGAATTCTTGATAAAGCTCAGATCAGACCTTCTTCGGAGTATTGTTCAGAATATGTTTATGGGAGCAGAGCTCCCTGAATTTGCTGGATTCCATCCAGAAAAGAGCCATCCGCCTGATTGGAGACGCGAACATCACGTGTAACCTTGAGAGCCTGGAACATCGAAGAAAGGTTGGAGATTTGTGACTTTTCTATAGATACTTTCACGGGAGGTGTTCAAATGAATTGGCACATTTGATTCCACCAAGAGCGGTTCATATCAGAAATACGCGACGGACTGTGGCTACTCATCGTTTTGAGGTTCAAATCAATACACCTCGAACTCCACTGTTTAAGAACTCTTTCATCTGAAGACTTGCGTCTGTGTGAAATAAACTTGCTGAGACTGTTTTTCCAAATGAATTAAATCTCCAGCAATTCAAATCCAATGTGAATCGCTACTTTCGCACAGGCACCGATTTGAGAACGCCTTAAGGATTTTCCTGTAGTGCTTGTGTACTGTCCTTAAAAAAATATGGTCACATCAAATTTTCCATATTTTCATATATTGAAGGGAATATGCAAACATTTTTTGTCTGACATAATTCATTTATGAGAAACTAGTACTATGTTGCTGTATCGCTGCTGTTCCAATGTTTTGACAGAATCAGAATCAACGAACTTAGGCGTGTGCAGTGTTATAGAACAGTGCTTTCAAAAAATTGTTCTACAGCGCCATCTAGTGGCGAGTTACAGAAAAATTGATAGCCTATAAACCTTCTCTATAAAAAATTACTTATACATGCTCATCACGATCGGTTCAGCGATGTAGAAGTTTATCACTTACCAACCAACCAACCAACCAACCAACAAACATTCATTTTTATATATTAGACTAGAGCAGAATTTGAATGACTATATTCAAATATTTATCCAAAATAATGTAGAAATATTGTAAACACGATATCGAAATGATACATTTTGCAAATTTTTTGTATAATTTACACAAATCCTCCACTGTATGTGAAGAATGTTTTATTTCCCCAATTATCAGTCACATCGTTTTGATATTGAATATTTTTGTAGAGTTGGCGGTATGGAGCAAAACGAAACAGCATCGAACTTTTTTTATGTATTTCCAATCGATTATACGGTATGCATAGTGACTTTGTGAATGTGTTCTTCATGCACTATAATAAGGAAAGAATTATTTTGCAGGTCTGCAGGTCAGCAAATTGTTCTCAGTTTACATTGCTCTTGTAATTTTGTAGAAAAGATGAAATAATTTTTATTGAAACTCCCAGTTTTACATAACTTGGCATGTAGGGTTCTGAATCTTTTATCACATGGAATTACTCTGTTAAAATCGACAGAAATTTTTGCAGGTCGGGTCTCTCAGGTATGATTCTCGACCAGATAATTTATTTCTGACAGACAGAGTTCCAACCTTCACCCTTTGTGTATGAAAAAATCACATTTCTCATTTTTCAGGTTTGGTCAACCAGACATGAATCTCGATCAGATTATTCAGAAAAATTTCATATTTCTCAGTTGGAAATTTTTTGCCAAGGTTCATTTTCAATTTTATGACAAATGTGATTTTTTTTGTGCACGAGGGATGGGGTTGGAAATTTTTCAGTCGGAATTGAATAATCTGGTTGAGATTCATATCCGAGTGACCCGGTCTACTAAAATTTCTGCCGACCTGAGTTTATCTTCAATTTTATGAGGAATGTGAAATTTTTCCACACACTAAGTATGTGAGTTGGAAATTGTTCAGTCGGAAATCATCAATCTGGTCAGGATTCATATCTGTGAGGCCCGACCTGCAATTATTTCATCTTTTCTACAAGATTACAAGATCAGTGTTAACTGAGAACAATTTGATGACCTGTAGACCTGCAAAATAGTTAGACCCTCATAATAATGACTTAGTAGAATTTGTCAAGCTCAATCGGATTAATCTACCAGAGGTAGATGCTGCCAGATTTTTTAATGCATTATTTCCTTTTACGGAAATGGTTTCTTTAAATTATTATTATTGTTGTACTTGCCGTCTTTTTAATCATAAAAACTCTCTCCTGCTTTTTTTTCCTCCGGTGAACGATTGACCCCATTCGATTTTTTCTTTTTTTTTACTTTCCCAGTTAGAGTAAATGATCAAATTGTCCACTTTCTGATGAGATACATGACTGCAATCGATTTGTCATTGATTATCTGTCACATATAAAAATACCTGGAGTATTCTTCGTGACATCGCAATTGTCAATTAATCGATTCCTCTAGTCATTCACATCTTGTACAAGATCCTTCAGATAACTCCATGAATAGAAATCTAAAGGAATCATATCAGGACTGCAAGCTGGCCAATTTCGAGGTCCTGCATGTCATATCCAGCGATTAGGGTAGGTGATGTCGAGATACTGACGAGTAAGGAATGAGCTGGAGCCCCGTCGTGCATAAACCACATGTTGCCTTTTACATCAAAATGGGTAAATGATCTCGCAAAAAGTCTGTGTAGGATTCACCTGTCAATTTTGCTGGAGGCCAATTATATAGTCACCAATCATTGGTACTATTTGAAGGACCTTCTTCTATCGCATCAAATATAGCTTCTTGTAGTTCAGGCGTTGTTACAGTTTCTGGTCTTCCACCAGCTGCATTTTCATTAAAATTCCCAGTTTCACATAATCTGGCATGAAGTGTTCTGAATGTTTTAGCACATGAAATTACTCTGTTAAGATATCTGTCTTGGTGAATTATGCGTGCTTCTTCCGCATTTCCATTTGATAATTTATAAATAAAATGCATGTCAGCCATTTCAGTAACAGTAAGTAGTAACAATAGTAGCCAATCGGATCGAAAAATAACTTTTTTTATATCGCTATGAAATGGTTTTCGAAAGAGACTTCTAATAGATGTCGAAAAATAATTTAAACATGGATGAATAATTCCTCCTCAACATTCAAACCCTCTCGGCACCGAGAGGAGCAGCACAATTGTTTTTTCACCTAAAAGTACTTTTT